AAAGCAAGAAGAAAAAAGAAAGAAAAAGAAAGAAAAAAAAGAAAGAAAAAAAAAGAAAGAAGAAGAAAGATTGCTAGACCAGCACCTTACCGCTGCGCCAGCACAAAGAAAAAAGAAAGAAGAAAGAAAAAAAAAGAAAGAAGAAAAGAAAGAAAGAAGAGAAGATGCTAGACCAGCAGATTAGCTGCGCCAGCAAGAAGAAAGAAGAAAAAAAAGAAAGAAAGAAAGAAGAAAGAAAGAAAGAAAGAAAGAAAGAAAGAAAGATTGCTAGACCAGCACCTTACCGCTGCGCCATCACAGCACACAAGTGGAAATATATAAAGAAGCCACTTAAGGCAGGGTTTTGGCATGTCTTGTTCACACGATTAGAACTTTGTTATTTTTTCCCTAAAAAAAAAGAAGGCCATTAGAAGAACAAGAAGTGTCGACATTCAAAAATATTTGCTTACTGTTCGGTGAGCAGAGAAGCCACCGTGTATGTCCGTTGATAAATGAAAGACATGGTGAAGTTTGGAAATAAGTTGAGGAATATGAAATAGAAGAGCGGTTTGTTTGTTTACCTTCAGTTCGAACGACAAGAGAAGGAATTATTTTTTTAAAGGTGATTCCATCTTGATTGCAAGATCTTGCTTAAATAGAACCATTTCCGTGACAAATCAGGTGTTTCTTAAACAATTATCACTGAAGGGTAGAAATATACATATATACACATATATTCATGTGGTGTGCGTGTGGTGTGTGTGCGTGTGCGTGTGTGTGTGTGTGTGTGTGTGTGTGTGTGTGTGTGTGTGTGTGTGTTGTGTGTGTGTGTACATACATAATTACACACACACACACACACACACACAACACACACACACACACACATATATATAATATATATATATATATATATAATATATATAATATATATATATATATATATATAATGTGTTGTAAGTATGTATATACATATTTTGTGTATGTGTGTATGAAGGAATAAAATGAATAAGATAACTACATCATAAATAGAGAACTTGCGTAAGAAATGTTTTAGAAATCAAAGAAATATGAAATCCGGTGTCAATGACTTAATTTCATTGTTCTAAACTTCTTTTTAGTTCTTTATTTTTGTACGAATTCAAGCACAGACATAGTAACGTGTACAAGAAAATAACCAAATGGTTTCGGTTGATTTTTCGTCTGAAAAGGAACTCGTGAAGAGTTCGAAATGTAACAATTTATTTTCAATTATTGTATCTTGTTTTCCTTTCCTTATTTTTGTATCTTATTTTAGTCGTTATTTACTGTTTTTGGTTAAATTTCACACACACGCACACACTCACACTCACACTCACACGCACGCACACGCACAGACACACGCACACACACACACACACATATGTGCCTATGTGTGTGTATTTATGTGGTTTAGTCTGCTTTAGGAGAAAAGCTTCGTCGTTTAAAAATCAAAAAGATTCATGTTCTGATATCTGTCGTAATTATTTTGCCAAACATACCATAGCTATACTCCAAAGGGTTAGCGAGATAGAAAATTAAAGAGACTTAATCACTCTGTTTATCAGTTCATCTTCTATGGACATGGCACTGATAAAGGTTATTTTTCTTCGGCTGAAAATAATGTCATGCGATATACATGTGGAAAACTCGTCTTATCAGTCTTTCAAAGGTAAATAATATGCAAAACCCAGTTACTTTGAAGCACTGTGCTTACGTTTTATTTAATCATCTTTTCCATACGTAAATATTGGACAACGAGGAAAAGAATCACATTTAGATAGTCATTATCAAAGGCATCAGTAAATAAATCGAAGCCAGAATAGCTGTCACCCGACCGTGTCCTCCAGCTTCTGTTGTAATTTTCTGGCAAGCTTTTACGTACAAACCGTCTCGTGGTAATATTACACTGCATTGAAGAATATAGGGATGTGCACAATATTACAACATCGCAACACGGTATTTGGCTTGGTCGAGTATTGCCTCATATGTCGCAGAAACCCAAAATATC